GTGAAACTAATTCACATCTGCCAAGCCTGCTAGATCACCGTATCTGAATCCTATAGAGCAGGTTTAGGGCATGTTGGACGACGCACAGCAGGTCGTAGCTTGCCGCCAACCACAGCAAGCGATCAACGACAATATTGTAAGCTTGCCTCGCCGTTGTCAAGCATGAATTTAAGCTAGAGGATATAATGCTCGTTATTAGGGTCATGTTTCCATTGTACATTATTCCCACGTATTTGGTCTTTCGCCGTGGATGGTCGCAATACATGTGTTTATATATGTCTTTATTGTTTGCAGTGTGGTCTAGTAATGCCTCACCACCTTCTTGGATCAATTTCATGCATGAAAAAATACGAGGGGGCGAATGCTTCAAGTGAAATATTTTCATCTTCAATACAATGTGTTCTTCGTAGTTAGCCAGGGCATCTATTCCAGCGAAACTCTTTTGGGCTAACACTTTCAAAGTTCCAAGAAGGAGAAATTCGTTTCTCGGAAAATTTTCTCGTTATCTCATACATTGTTTTGAAGCGATAATTTCAATTATACCCACTATAGTCACAGAACAACACCTAAGAAAAGTAACAAAGGCGTAGAAATAATATAACACAGATGAATGCTGCTAGCGGGGGAAAAGAAATGGTGAAGTTAGAGGATTAAACTTTCTATTGTACGCCATTTCGAAATTTAAATCGCCCACCAGTGAGCGGTAGGACCAGGCTGACTATTTTCGGTGCAGATGATGTTTAATCTGGAAGCCATTAATAGCAAACTGAAAGGGGCAGATGTCCTTTCCCTTCACTGCATAGAATTTCACTCATTTCTCAAGGTGCTTTATATTACAAATGTTTACGTGGTAATCTTTGATTATCGAACACATTTATAAATTAAAATGAATGATCAGTTTTAATGCGTATTTTAATTTTTTAAGCAATGCATCAATAGTTAGAAAAACCAAGAATATTAGCAAACAAGGGTTAGGAAACAAATTAGTTATAGTTAACTACCATAATGTAAAGGCAAAGAACAGCACTTGCCTACACCCTATAAAGATATGAAAATGAATTGATAAACGATTTTACACATCAAGAGATATAAACATGAAAATGTTGAAAATATCACATAAATCTTGAGAAATGCAATGCGAGTGAGAGACTACACATTTTTACTACATTTATAATGCTGTAAAGTACGCGTTTGAAGACATTTTTAATATTGTTATCTGACATTGCTTAAAGACATTAAGATCACAGAGAAATGAGTATTGGGTACGGATAGGGAAGTAGGAGGTTACTGTTATAATTCTGAAATTGAAACTTGTGACATTCCATTCTGTTAGTTTAAGTTAAAGCAAATGAGTTATGAATTCGTTTCTGTGTCGGTTAAAAATATAACACATTTCACCGATAGATTTATGGTAAAATGTATTAAAACACATAAAAAATAGTTTTAGTATTTTATTCAAACCATACAGAAAAAAAAGTTCATAGACCTTTTTCTGTTATTTCAAAAGTTGCAATAATAATAGCAGCAAACTTCTAACACCATATAAGAATGGCATTATTTTCTGATATTTCGGACTTGTTTAGTTGTCCCTCCAAACTCGGCATTTGTTTTTTGGATTCATAGGTGAATCTGGCGGGCAATTGAAGTCTCTAGCAAATTCGGGTACGTTAGAAATTGCTCCTATCACTCTGAAACAGAAACAGAAATACTATTTTTAATATGAGTTCGCCGAATGTGACCAACATTTTAATCACATTTTACAGTTCATCTTGGGCTTCAACAGTAGTTGGCTGCGTTTTGATGAACATAAAAAAAGCTAAAAAAAAACTGTTCTAGAATAAAAATTTTATATTCATTCAAAAAAACTTCTTGAGGTGAAGAGTTTGATATAATTTCCATAAAAAGTAGATTATTGATTTCAAATACTATCTGGAACTTTAAATTTGTAACTGTCTGGATTATCATTTCCAACAATAACGGATAAGTAAACATCATATTTGTCATACAGTCCTCTTTTAAACCTAATTTAATAGTTACAGTTTTATTGTTTATTGTACATGCCTATCTAAACAGCAGAAAATTTTCTATTCATTTTGACATATTTTACTTCACAATATCTGAAATACTATAATACATAGTTCTGATTTCATTCTTGTTTTCCTTGTTTTTTCATTGTTGTTCATTGTTTCTGTGTTTCACTTTACTTTATTTATAATAAATTAAAAATATGACCTAGATTAAATTTGTTTCGAACAATATTTTTATTAAATTAATTTTTTTTCGAACAATATATTTATTAAATAATATTTTAATAATACTGTATAAGCAGATTTGAAATATATCAAATTCCATAGTTATTTAATGTACTTTGTTTACAATTCGTTTGTTTACATTTAGTTGTATGCTGTCATAATACTGTCATTGATACTTATAGCTTAATAATATAATTTTTGCGTATTATTTATTTTATATATTTGTTTTTGGGCTTTCAAGTGTGGAACACAGCATTTATTTTGTGTTAATTTACTTTTAAGTAATACTGTAATTGCTACATCTAATGACACTTTATCCTGATTTATCCCATAATAATCTAACTGACTTCATATATCACAACTATTATTTTCTGAAGCTAATTATTGCGGCACCTGTGTACTCAATTATACTATATTGTGCATTTTCATATCTTTATCTCTGAGTTGAATCTTATAAAACTGGGATTTAACTTGGATCAAGTTCATCCCGGCAGACTCAAAAATTTATTAATACACTGAAAAACAAAGTATTCGGAGTAGCATCATCAGCTATTGCGGAAGACCTTGTAGAGTCATTAAGTTATTGAGGAAGAAAATACGAAAATTAGCAATGCTTTCCCCGGGTCTCAAATACACTCCGAGTGTGCTACCGTTAACCACGAAGGCATGCTGGAAGGAAGGAGAAAATACCTTATAAACTTCATACAGCTTTTCAAGATTTGTCCTCAGATAATCACCTGACAGTCAAAGCAAAATATCCTTTAAGAGGACCAGGCAATGAATTACTTGTATGGCTTATATTTTGCCCCCAGCAAGCGTATAAGGTATTTCTACCGCCTTTTAGCAAGCTTTCGTGGTGTAGTGGTCTGCACGCTCAGCGCATAATTGAGAGGTCCGCGGTTCGATTCCCGGCGAAGGCGTTTGCTCATTTTTCATCTTGCCTGCTTCCAAAAATTACCTAAGTTGTACAGTGGCGCCCCTAAAAAGGTTTGGATGAGGTTCCTCCTCACTCGATTTGCGCTTGGCTCACTAAAAACCCCAATTGTGCTTTAAAGGGAAGTATATAAGATCGTGGTTCGATTCCCAGTAAGCCGTCTTGCTATTTTTCATCTTTACTGCTTCCAAAAAAATACCTAATGTCTCAACAAGCTTCACTATCCTATCCCAAGGAACTATTTTAATAAGTTTCAAAACTAGTTTCTTCCGTCCATATATCACTCTGATCAGGCACAACAATTGCCAAAAGTTAGGGCACTCGAACAAAATCTGCAAACACCCAACAGCTTTCTCTGTTTGATCAGATCCACATTACCATAAGCAGTGTAGTTTAAGAAAAATATGAATCAGATGCATACGCACGCAAGAACACTAAGGAGAACAAGGAACATTGAAACGGCCTCGAGCATATTTGCCCAACTTACTGGAAAGAATTCTTCTGTGAAATTCAAGAGTCTAGGATACAACTAATAAATGAATAATTTTATTCCAGAAGTTTTCATTTATTCAAATAAATCTGGGCAGATCCCAAGCAATAACAATAGCAGCTGGCAGAATGATTATCAAAAAATATTTCTGTACTTTGTCTGTAAGAATATTATTCAATCCAGAATACACTACCTGGATTTAATCCAGAACCCCTGCTGGTATCAATTCAAAACATGTTGGAGAATGTTACATTTTCCGCTTGCTATTAAAATTGCAGAAATGGTTTTACCTTTTAAAAAAGGGAAAAATACAGATATGCCAAACTCTTATAGACCAATATGCCTTTTCCCCTCCCTAAGCAAAGTTTTCGAGCAATTAATTCGTAACAGATTAAGCTATTTTAAATTTAAATCACAACCTTCAATATGAATTCAAGAAGTGCTCCTCAACTGAACAATCCATATCAGATATTCTCGAACATATCCAGTGCAATAAATTATCTAGACTACATTCACTGCTAACTTCAATAGATATAGAGTGTGCGTTTTACTCCATTTGGTGTCACTGATTCAAATAAACTGTCTGAAATAAATCTACTATATTGTACAAAGTTACTTTACAGATAGAGAGATTCAAATCACCACTACATATGAGCTTATGCTTATTCACTATTTATACAAGCAAATTACAAAAGGCTGTCCGCAGAGCTAACGTTTTTGTCCTCTCTTGTGGAATTCAAAGATAAATTCGGCTGTCTTCTTACAAGCCTATGCAGATGATATTTTGATGATAGTTAGCCCAACAACTCGTAGGCAATTAGGAATTAATATAGAAGATTCATTAAATCTTTTCAACAATTGGATTATTCGATATAAAATAGCCAGCAGCAAACCAAAAATTGTATTATTTGGCCATAACCAAAGACTATTCAGACCTGCTGCAGTTTGCTTGAAATAGTCATCTCTTAAAATACTTAACTATCTGTTATACTTAAGTATCTACATAGATTGGAGATTATCATTCTTTCCTCACTTACATCATATATAAAAGACGAATACAACTTCTTGCTAACACACTTTCTAGAACTGTAAGCACAAATTGGGGTACTTCGTCCTCTCTCCTGAATGCTACAAAAATATAGATACTCGTATATGGAATTTAAATATAGTACGAAAAGAAACATAATATTAGGCTAAAAATTAAAAACCAATTTTTTTAAAACCGTCCTGAGTTTAGCTGCATGATTGAAGTAAAATAGACTTCAAGCATCTAAAGTTAATATTAAATTGGAATACAAGCAAGGCAATTCTTCAACAATACTAAAAATTTCAACCATGTATAAGAGGTTTTACACAGTATCTAAACAAATTAAAATTAAAATAAAAATTCATATTAGAACAAACTCGAAAAATAATAATGCGAAAGGGAAAATATACAGATTTAAAAAGTAATCTCCCTTTGCTGAAACTCCAATTCAGAACTCATCAGGTGAAAGTGAGTTAAAGTTTTATAAAAGTGGATTAATATGTTTCGTTCTCCTTGTTCAATTGAGATCTAAAACCAAAAAAAAAAATTAAAACAATTAGTTCTGCTGTTGGACACTTTAAAACTTATCGGATACTTTTTCCAAGAAATACAAAATTTCTGCTTTTCCAGAGCAGCTCTCTGAATTCTACATTCCTATGCAAGAAATTCATGATCATTACCGATTCTCTCGCAAGTATTGCCACCATACTCAGTACACACACACAAAAAAAGGACAATTCTATATCTTTCGTTCTACTGAGCATTTGACAAAATTTAACTCGCCTTTTTCATTGCCTCGAACTTTCCTCGAAAGCGTGACTTAGGTTGTGTTAGATTTACACATAGCATTGTTCTAACCTAGGCATTTTGATACAAAATCGAATTCTTTCTGAAATGACATACGATTCTTTCCATATTTCAAATTTACGATTTAAATTATGCTAAAGTGCCAAGTTTTGTAAAAAGAGCACGAGTAGTTTTTAAAAATTAGCTCTGAAAAAATTTTAGCTCCTCAATATTAATTAAATTTGGTATGTATTTATTAGATGCTTTTCCGTTAGCCGGATGCAAGCAAAAAATCGCCAAATAATGTACAGCGAAGCGAATGACAAAACAATCAACGAAATAAAAGTCGAAAACGTTCAACTATAAGCAAATATTTATTAATAGCAAGCAAAACAAGTTTAACTATGAACAAATATTAATGAATTGTAAACAAAACAGTTTTACCCCAAAAGAATGCTTATAATTATTGGTTTTTCCAGAATGCGGTGATGTCTTTGAGAATTCGCTCAAATGGATCGCTTACTTCTCGTCTCCATAAAAATTCAGCAAGTTATGACTCCAGATGATGGCGTCCGATGTTTTTTATTTCTCCATTTGTCAGTGGAGTCCCCAAAGTCGTTCGATTTTCTGAATGTTTACTCAAGTGTTGGGATCAACAAAATTGTACCTGTGATTGACTTTGAAATGCTGTAGATCAATTTCTTCTATTTTAGATATGCAGTAGCCCTTCCAGGAATCGGAATAGATGATTGACCGTTCTTCGATGTGATTTACTATCGCAGCTAACGGTACTGGTAAAGAACGGTTTGGAACTTTAACCAGAAAGCATTCGTCCATTTCGCGTCAAACGCCACCAAATATCCACTGTTGGGGAAGAATTCGACCGGCATTGTTCTTTCGTTTTGTAAATAAGCTCTCGTCTATCTGAACTATTTTTTCAGGACCACTGATTATTTTATTTATTTTTTTTTATTTTGCTCACGTTCCGCTAATACTTCTACACAAACTTCTCTTAAGTAGTTGTTCCAATCTACAGCTCTATTATGATTCATATCCAGTTGATTTTCACACAATTTGACTGATGTTATCTCTTCGCTCCAGCCTTAAATAAATCTCAAAGGTGTTAGAAAACTCAGTTTGGACGATTCGAACTACGTACCATTGCGAAGGGTCTTCTTCGTGCAGCAATGTTGAAAGATTGCACAGCCAACGCACTCCGTCAGAAAACGACAATTTCATGTCATGATTCTAAACGCATGTTGCATTCTTTGCCAATATACCTTTCTCTTGAAAAAAAGAGACTGTATCTTCTTCAGTTCTGGGTAAATCCCAAATTTTCATCATTTTTTAAAACAAAAAATTAAGATGGAAGAAAAAATGGAAAACTTGCTTTGTTTTGAATGAATTCAGAGAATAGATCACATAGCCCCAAATGAACATTCCCCTTATAGTTGTAAGGAATTTTGTGGAATTCTACATTATTTGGCGATTTTTCGCTTGCGCCCGGCTAACGGAAAAGTGCTATTTACTAATATTTCTTTTCTAAACTTACTTCACTCCTTCTTCCTAAGAGTTTTTAATTATAACTTATCAAAATTTTGCCGTTATCTTAAAATGCATGTTTTTCTAGTCACATTCACAAAACTTTAGAGTTTCTCATTCAAAATGTGCAAAGATATACGTGAAATTACATCTTAGCGGGTTTCGAAATTTGGCATATTTGTTATGCCAAATTTCAAAACCGCTAAGATAACACCAAATGTGTTTTACGCACATTGTTAAAACTATTTGAAAGAATGAACAAAGCATCTTTTTTTTTCGCTCGTGCACAATGAAAGAAAGGGAAAGGAAATTAGGTTATTATAAGTTAAGAATTTCAGTAAGCAAATTTTTCTTGGCACAAATTTAAAACTTTTGCCAGGACAAATTTTTAAATTTCACGGTAAGTTTCTCCCCACGGTTTTACACAGTTCAATGTTTAGGCATAATTTGAATTGTAGAATCGAAACATGGAAAAAACTTGACATGGCATTTCAGAAAAATTCCGATTTTGTGACAAAATTACCTATGTTAAGACAATGATATATACATAAAACCTAATATCCTAAGTCGCGCTTTCGAGGTATGAAAATGCAAGTTAAATTTCGTCAATCGACCTGTAGAACTGCCCGTTATGGTGTGTGTGTTGTGCAAGATGTCAAATTTTAGATATGACAATGCATAATTTGGACTTGTGCTCCAAATGTAACAAAACAGGTAATGATGTACCTGATCTACTTCCCAAGTCAGCAAGATAAAATGCCATTGTCAGCTCAACGTATATCCCTCTATCTATATCATATTTAAAGAAGCAATAACTCAATCAACTCATTAATCAATAAGAAACAAGAATGAACACATACAGAACCTGAACGACTGACTGATAAGTACTTCCCAAAAATAAAATTTAAAAGCCTCACCAAATTCTAAAAGTATAACATATTTCTTCACCGGACACGGTGCCTTCTTCTCTTACCAAAAAACTATGCTTATGGTTCACTGGCCACATTTGAGCATTATGCATTTACTTGTCAACTTGCCAATCGTTTTCATCTGAAGCATCCATCAAAAGACCGCATTCTTTACTGGAGCGACAATAGCTTCACAAATACCTCAGCTCAATTTTAAACGACATAAATTATTTCAAATTGCTTCTAAAATAGCACAAGGTTAGCTAATTTCCTTTTAATACCCTTTTAATAATTTTCTTCTAATACTAATTAATACAGCAGATTAATACCGAATATGTCTTTTGAAAGTTTTCGAAACAAATACTAAATACTGTACTCATCCGTTTTCATCTTGTTGCGCATTTTATGTGTGCGTCACCATAAAATTTAATGCACACTTATACTGTTATGTATATTTCTACGCAAAATTGTGACTTTAAAAAATTTAAATATTCAATAAATTTAAATATTCAATAAAGGCCCATCTGGCCTTTGTTTGGGGTTACTAGGTAGGGAGAATGGGGATTTTGGCTAAACGTGCAAACAGGTCAGCTGCCATTCTTGTGCAGTTAAAAAAATCTTTTTACGTTTAGAATCATATTAAAACGATTTTCAATAACGGTTCAAATTTTAAGCATATCAGTGTCAAAAATTAAACAGTTTATGAGTAAATTAGTAAGGCGTAAAGATTTTCCAAGAAATTTAACATCATTGAAAAGTAAAAAAAAAAAATTATTATTCACTTGCCTAAATTGTGCCGGACTGTGATAATCCATTTCTAATCGTTGCGCCTCAGCAACTGTCGAGAATTTCATGCATAGATTCTAGAAGAATTTAAGGAAATTATTGTATTCTCCTGATACACATATATTAATATGAATGACTATGACTTGATAAGGTAAATTTGAAAATTTTTTTGTAATCTATTGTCAGCTAAAACATTAATTGTCACTTATCGTCAAAAATACCAAATTAAAAAAACTCTTCAGATAAGATAAATCTGAAAAGACACCTGATCTTTTTCAGATCTTTTTATCCTAGAACATGGGACCTGCTAAAATAATATTCGATCATGGTCTTCAATTTGTGAGTCAAATGTTCTAGAAAATGTACTGATATTTAAATAATATTGTATGGCTCTTACTAGCCGATATTCAATTAGCAGAAACGGATAATGCAGGAATATAATTAAACCTAGCCGTCATGGTCTTCAATTTGTGAGTCAAATGTTCTAGAAAATGTACATGGATATTTAAATTAATAATTTTTAGATGGTCTCTTACTAGCCATAGTTCAATTATGCAGAAAAGATATATGCAGGAATATAATTAAACCTAGCCGCAAGCATACAAAACGTTATCATTCGCTTTGAGCTAACTGAGAGAATGAACTCACCCACATACTTTTCAAAAAGTCACATACTTTTCAAGTCGGAGAAAAGGATACAGTAGGATAATGTCTCCAAAACTACTTTTTGATAGGCAGTTGATTTCACCAGTCTATAAATTGTTCGTTGTAGAAAGAAGGGAAGAAAAGTTTAAAACGAAAGAAATTCCGAACTTTAATTATTGGTCAATAAGGTTACTATCTATTCGGATATAGACCGCTCCAAGCAGAAAGTATATCATGATAAGAAACATTATTTTAAGTTCGGTGTAAAATGTTTGAAAGTTAAGGATTCTTCACTTCTAGTATTCTTCCCGAAAGACAAGGCCGAAATATTTTGTCTCAAACAGGAAGCACTGGATATAGTCGAGCGTGTAAAAGCTGTGTTTTTTATTGCAAAGGTTAGATAGTTCCACAATTACGGCAAATGTCGATAAATGAAGACATTTTATGAACAGATTAACATTCATGAATAATAAAGATTTAGATATAGCTCCTGTAAAACTTCGTTCAAACATCGGTCAGAACGTCGTTCCTGTAGACCGTCACTAGTAAACAGCTCAAGGGAGGGAAGGTGAGATAGCGAGTGCACATAATCCCATTGCAGACGCGCCAAGAAAAAAATATTTGTTTGTTGTAAAAAGAAGTCCTAGAAGAGAATAAGCGTTGAAGGGGTACCATAGTACTGTTACAGCGAAAGAAAGGTTTAAGAATGCACGGCCAAGGGAAGCCGTAAGGGATCATTACCTAAACGAAAAGAAAGTACTACTTTCTGCGTCTATATTTCTAGGGAGCCAAGAGTATAAGCTGTGCAGAAAACAGCAGAGGCGCACTAAGGAGATGGAAAATGACACCAGGAGAGAAATGAAACAGCAATAGAAGTAGAGGAAGAAATTAAAGAAATTAAGTCAACCCGAGGACTCAGAAAATCAAGGAAATCTAAGAGGTTAAGCGACCAGTCGCGCTAATTACGGAGCAAGGGTAATTACGGAGCGATAATTACGGAGCAAACTGCTCTCGGAACTGGAGAATCCAAGGATAATTGATAGGAGACAGATGTTCTTCATACATAGCATAGACACACGGATGCGCATACAAGCGTGAAACTAGAGAGCTGGAAATATTAAGCAAATATTAATAAGGTTTACATAATTTTAAAATTATTTACTATATTCATTAAGTCATTTGTTTCTGAATTATCGAAATTCTGGTGAGTGCGACTGCAGTGTTTTATGTTAATTAACCAGTTACCTATTTTATTTATATTATCTCTTTTCTTCGGCTCTCATCAGGATGAAATTAGTTTATGTACTTAAGAACGGAGTTCTTGAGTTCATTAGAGAACTCAAAATTTGAGAAAAAGCTTGTAGACCCTCTTTAATTTTTATTTAATACTTTGTTTTACTTGAGCAATTATTCAGATTTTCCTGCAAGCAACAAAGATTTGGTATTCTGTGACTAAACAGGCTGCATAATTGTCAGGCTGACGAGTAAAAGTAAAAGATTTTTACCTTCTGAGATTTAGTTATTACACTTAGAGTTTAAGATGAAACAGTGAGTCGTCTAACTTTCTTTACATTTACAGGAATTAGTATTTAGAGTAGTATGAATAACATTTTGAAATTAAATTCTACTTGGGAGATAAATTTGCTTAAAACTATCTCGTCGGATATATATGTCGCAGAATATTTTTTAGAGCCTTTAAGTCGAGATAGAGATGGACGATCCGCTACGGAACTGATTCAAAGAACCGATTCACTTTACTAAGTGAATGATCAGCGCTCCAGGGAAAACGGATCAGTAATTCTTTAAGAGTTCACGGAGAGCTCTTGTTGGAAAGCATGCCAAAAATTTGATTCCTCTTATGTAAACACTGACATTGTTTATAAAATACCGTAAAAGTTTTCAACATTTTCTGTGTGTATGTGTTATATATATATATATGTGTGTGTGTGTGTGTGTATGCTTTTGGTTTTCTTGTATTCCATCTAATATTTAAAAAACAAAATATTAAATAAGCCAACGCATATCAGCGAAACTTATCAACTTTATTTGCAAATGAAAGGGTGTTTTTTCCATTTGGGAGTGCAATGATCTTTTTAAAGTATATATTATAGGTGCTCAGTTTCTCCCTCAGATTCCCAGCTGTCATCGCTCCAAGGCTGCAGCTCTAGTCGCCCATCTAGGTCCTTCGGAATGTTGATTATTCGCTCTTTTTTATCGTTCTTTCTCTATCCGCGGATCTGATTCCTGCGGAGTCTTCATTATCCGCTCTTTTCATAGCTCCGCTACTCTTTCATTAACAGTAATTTGGCACCTGCGGAGTCTTGATTATTTGCTCTTTTCGCTCCTTCGGAGCATTTTTACGCTGGGCTTTGTTATGGCAACAAAATATCAATCATAGTAATAAGTCATGTATAGTCTGCTTAGTCTTTAACAAAACTGAGTAATATTTTAATTATTAGCATCTTTAACATTTTCTTATTCTAAAATTTTACTTTTGTTCTACGTAGAAAGGTTTATTAAGAAATCTCAGAAGTACACTTGAAAGAAATCAGTTTAGGCAGTGAGCGGTTTGAAAGAGTTGATTCCAATCAATCCCGCTCCTTATTCAATTCTTTCTGCTTTTCCCTCAACTTTGCACACCGCACTTGAGACACGCCTGTTCTAAGGACATTCATCAAGGTGAATCAATGTTGGTGAGCGGTGAATAGTAAAAAAAGAACTGATTCACTTTAGTAAGTGAACGGTTTCGATCTGATCTTTAAAGGAGGGGTTTTGTCCATCTCCAAACCGGGAAAGTGATTAGCGACGTTGACTGCCATATTAAAGAGTCGGGGTTCGAATTAAAAAAAAAAAGAAGACATAGGTGTTTGTAAATGCATAGTATCTGTACGGCATGAAGGCACTCTAACTATGCGGCGAGCCGAAAGTTCTCTGGTGTGGATTGGTGGTAGGAAGATGATATAAGGGTTGAGTAAAGTTCCTTGATTTTATCCAGTGATCGACATTGTACAGCTTCTTCCACAGTTTCGTTCCAATGGTTATCATTCTCTAACATACTCTGAGCTTCATATGTTTCTGTATAAGTTCGACATTCTAGACTATTAACAATTTTAAGGTCTTTAAAGCTAGTTGGATCTCGAACATGATGCAGTAAAATGCGCAGATAAAAGCATTCAAAATTCGTTACATGGACGGTGTAGGCACGACCAAGAGCGTCCGATGATTTAACCCCTGACCAATTTTCAACAGGCGTTCAACGCGACGTTGCCATCTTTTTTTTGAGTTGTTCCATGTATAATAACGGGGAACTTCGGAATACAATAATCTTTTCGCAAAAGTATCTGTGTGGCAAAGCTGGAAAAAAAAAGCGGTCAGTGTGGTTTTAGGAGAAGATAAAATTCTTTCTTGAAAATTATTCTCATTCAAAAAAACATGCTGTTTATTTTCTAAATGTACGGCAAGATGTGTAACAGTCGGATATTTTTCATAACTGAAAACCAAGGAGCCGCCACGCTGCCTCATTACTACTGACATATAGCCCTGCCTCACAGATTTGTATTTCGTTCAGAGGCAGCAACACAACTTCGTTACGCAGCTTGAAGATCGCCTGGTTGCTCCCTTTATTCATATATTTACAAATATATTTAATCGCACAAAACGAGTTGCAGGTTTTAACATTAATGTGAGCATTAAATAATTTACAAAGAACGGGTGAATATGGCACAACCCAGCTATTATCAAAAGTCTTGACTATCCTACTGTGAGTTTGAATCATAACTCTTCTATCTTCGGGTGCTCTTCGTCTGTATATAGGTCTGTATATATGTCTGTATAACCCTTATCATTGTGCACTGTTTCCTTTAATAGCTCTCGAGGGAACTTTTTCGCACATTTGCCATTTTTCATGCAAGGTGATGCTGGATTGCGAGTTCGACAGGGACCATGGATCATGTTTTTGATTGCGATCTCGTGCAAATTCTTATCTAGTTCTGGATCCGGGATTTCGGCGTTTATAATGTTATCTATTTGGTTGGATCGCAGCTTTTGATTTAACCAAATAAGAATGTGCACATGTGGCAAACCTCGTTTCTGCCATTCAATGACGTACATATGACGTACAATTCAATGACGTACAATATTTTTTTCCTTTTGTTAGTACATTAAAGATCTTTTGAAATTTTAAAAGGAACACGAGGGCAACTATGTCATGTCGATCAGTGGCTCTTTGTCCGAACATAAGCTCTTCTGTTATTTCTTTCCATGAAGGATTGCAAGTAAAAATTACAACAGGTCAGGCCTACCGTAAGTACGTACGTAAACGAAAGCGTCTTGTTTGTATTCATGAAGATAGCGGGGACTGTTCACAAAAGTGGAGGGAAGAATAACCAACCTGCTTAAGTCGTTGGGGCTAATATTGCCATCTGTGCTAATTGCATCTTGTAGGTGAATGCAATTTTCAACTCGTAGTTGTGTCTGGTTTAAAGAAATGTAACGAAGGCGTTCGCTCTCTACCTTGATATACATATCTACTAAGAATTAATCAAAGACCGCCTCGACCGTGGAAGGAGGTTGAAATCATTCTATCGAAGCATCATGTGATAGGCGTAAAAATCCATGCAGGAAAACTTTTTTATTGGGAACTGGCTGTTTTGTAGTTGGATTAATCTGTGGAATATGAAAACGGTATCCCAATTGCCCTTTACTAAACATTAATGGGTACTGCAAAGCATCGTAAAATTTATGAGTATCTGCTACGCATGTCAATGTATTATCATGTGCTCCTAGCACTATATCTCGTATAGAGCATGGGTCGCCAGTAACCAAGACAGCAACTTCATTAATTATAGGTGCATTATAGCACCTCTCATGTTCGCCACGTGGAGTTTGATCAGTATGAATGACGACTTTATAATCGTCTTAAGGCAAGTTTTCTATTGCAGTTTTAAAAGTATTTATCAAAACGTTGTGGTCATGTAACATTCTTTGAATTTTCAATAAAATATCTCTCTCGACTCCATCAATATACTGACAACGACGGCTTACTTCATTTTCTTCTTGACCTATAAAATAAACTTGAAAAAATTCATGCGGTTCATTATGCGTTGGAAAACGTGAACCAATTCGATGATATACCTGGCCTTGTAGTGTAAAAGTTAGTGAAACACGGACATTCTTATCTCTTTGTCTACTCCAAAAGATGTCATTTGGAAGAAAGAGTTGTACTTTCTGATTGTGCTTAAAAACGCTTTGATTCATCTGTATCATATAAATATAGAGTTTTCAGCCGTTCTTCTGGTTCACCAAGTAAAGAAAACGAAACTTTACCATTGGAACAGCACATTGCTGCCGTTTCATCTTTTCTTTTTAAAGCATCGCAAAACTGGCATTTTTTACTCATCGAATCGATAACAATGATTATGGTAATCAATTGAACAATTAATGGATGATTATGGTAATCAATTGAAGTCCAGAATAATTAAATACGGACCAAATATTATGCATGAAATTTCGCCGGTGTTCGGTTTCCATTTCTGCATGAACGATTCTTCTCGCCTGCAATTGTTCTAGAATATCTCTCGCTCTAATAACTGCCTGTTGTTGAGCTTGTTCTTTCAATCGAATCTGTGTTTGAAGAGGCGTATCAGTAGCTCTCAAAGGAATATGACGTTCAACTTGTTCTTTCAAGCGGATTTGCGTTTCGAGAGGTGTTTCAGCAGCTCAGAAATCAGCTTGGCGTTCAGCTTTTTCTTCTAAGCGAATTTGTGTTTGAAGAGGCGTTTCAGCAGTTCTCAAAGCAGCTTGACTTTCAGCTTGTTCTTCCAAGCGCATCTGTGTTTGAAGGGGCATTTTAGAGGCTCTCAAAGTAGCTTAGCGTTCAAGTTGTTCTGCCAAGAGTAGTTGTGTTTGGAGAGGCGTCTCAGCTGCTCTCATAGAAGCTTGACGGGAAGTTTGGGCCTCTAATCTTTCTTGTCTTTGAGAAGTTGTTTCATCAATTCTCAAAACAGATTGTCGCCTTTCTTATTCTTGTCTTCTTAATTTTGCATGTACGGAAGACTCTTGGAACCGAGCAATTTTAGCTGTCCGCGCCCCAGATGAATTCCTAGACATGTTAGATTTACGTTTGCGAGGCAATTCGAAAACAAAAACAAAACAAAACAAAACAAAAAACTGTAAAAAATTAACTGTAAAAATGGAAATAAAGAAATAGACAAAAAGAGATAACCTTACTCCTAAAATTAAAACAGATGTTGGTTAGGATCGTAGTAAAAAAAACGTACTTATGAATATAAATTTATACCAAAAATTGTCATACAAACGAAAAATAATTATTCGAAAAATATAAACAATAACAGTATTTCACAGAAAAATGCTATTTCAAATAATCATAACCGTTCTTTCTTCAATTGAACACTATAAACATTTCTCTATGGGAAACATTTCTCTATAACACCAGTGCACTCTAACGTGTGACAGGCGTAATACTAAGTATAGTATGACATTCGTAGTTTCCTAAACAATTAACAGATGTTGCTGTAAAAATTGCAGTATTTTATGTTAAACGATGTAAAAAGTACAGCAAAATGAAAATGTAAGTAATTTGTTAAATTTAAGCTATAACCATAAGTGTGTGGTACACACTATGCTCATGTTTTATAGCTTAAAATGATTGTCGTTGTATAAATATTAAATGTTTAAAGTTTCATAACGATAAGTGAAACGATGTAAAAGTTTGTCTGCGCGCGCAGGTGCATGGCTTAAACCACGCAAACATTTTATAGCCTATAACTTTTTCTAATATATCAAAAATATTTATTGAAAATTTCACGGTGATCGGTTAAGTAATTAAGGCGTGATAGCGTAACAAACAAACAAATGTACAAATAAACTCACATTCGGATTTAGAAAATTAGTTAGGATGTCTCGAGTGAAATACTTTTTATGCACTTCACGGAACATCCTTTTAGCACACATTGGGCTCAGAGAAATTCCATTATAAAGTAACATTTCAGTCAGGTATGAGAGAAATCAGACTTACACTAGCTGCACTTATCCAGAATAATTGATTTTGTGTATACTTCAATCCCAGCAGCACTGGCTCCCTTCCATTATCTCTAAGCCATGATTGATAAGCCTGTACGAAAAAAAAAGCAACAAAAGATAATCAAATAACTGTATACTTGAAACCAAAACTGGAAAATTAATTTACTTGTATTTGATCCAAAATAGAGCTTTTGAAGACGCTCAATAAAAAACTACTAGGAATTTTACTATGTTCTTTGCTCATGTTTTTGAAATTTCATTGAAAAAATATGTTGTATATTTGTTTAATTTAAATTTTATGTTTTATACATTTTATGCATGTTTTTTTAAATTATATTAAAATTGCAAGTAATGGAGATTAAATTCAAGGAGAGCAAAGTGTATTAGTATGAACTTGAAAGAATTCAGCCTTGGATTGTGGCTCGATTTAACAGATCTTGAGAGCGGTAAAGCCAACGCTTACGTTTCTTTCAATATTTTGATGAAAAAGTAAAGTAAATGTTCTGCTGCTTTTTTCAAAGTAGGTTTTTGAAATTTATATCTCATTATGTGGAAAATTGTATTTCTAAGTCAGAAAATTGCAAGCAATTAAGTAATTTAATTTAGAATTTCGTTTTCTTCAAATTCATGTGTTTTAATTATTTAGATAAATATTACATAATAATCATACGAAATTAAACATCTTGAGAGATTTAAGTGTGGTTCGGAAAATGAAGGCGAGATTGCTTTTATGTGTTTTGACAGAGCAAAATGAAATATTCTCCAATTTACTTATTAGGAATTATCGCATCTCCCCGTGTATGCTCTTATAGTGTTAGTAGTTAGTACGTGTAGTTAGCAAATTCTATGGCTCAAAACCCTCCGATCGTACAGTTGACATTTTGTGTCTTCTGCTCCGAAAAATCTAATAGACTTTACAGATTATTATATCTAGTGTAATAATTATAATGTTTATCATTATAATTCATTATAATGTTTATCATAATGAAAATAATGCCTGGTTCTCGTTCTTCGTCTTTTCATGTTGTCAGTTCAAGTATGCATTTAAATCGGAAAAAAAAAAAAAGTTTTTTTTTTTTTTTTAATTTTATTTTTTTGTGACTTGACTAACCGCTCGCATAACTTCTGCAGGATTAACATTACTTACGACTTCTAAAATGGGAATTGCTGGTTCTATTAGCAAGCTCGACGTGATACTTTGAGTGATTAGCTGAACCTAGGTTAGCCCCACAAAGAAACTTATATGAACATAAATATATAGCTGTGGATATCTGTGCTCTCAATTATCTAGTCCAAAGAAACATAGTGAATAAATAAAAACGTAGTAACGTAACGTAGTAACAGAAAGAACATTGCAAATTTAGTATTTTGTGACTTTAATTAGCTCCCGTAAGATTTCCGTGTGGATATCTTTGTAGAGTAAAATCAGAGATATCCGCAATATCTGTAAATACTAGAGCGCCGTCTGTGAATAAATAAGTGTAACTATGCCAACAATGTTCAAACTTTCCTCAAAGGGAGGTACCTTCAGAGTGTGAAAGTGTATAAAGAATCGACTGGGACGACATCACTGTAACGTTATTGTACCTCTACTGTCTACTGAATTAACACTTTCTAGCCAGTTAGTGCATTGGTTACGTGATAATATCCACGTAACCAATGGTAAACATTGAGTGCCCTCTGCACTTCAGCCTGAACATAACTCACTCCAGCGCAGCTGCAAAGATTCGTTACGGTATGAAACCCTTTTACTCAGTACTTCAATAAGCATCAGTGCAGTTTTCTGAATTCGGGGAAAATTTGGGTACGGCCACTAATTGCCTGTGATAAAAAGAACTCCCACTTAAAATCCTTACTGTAAACACCAAAGCTTACTTTAATTTTGGGATTAAGCAACATTATCTGTTAGAGAAGTCACCACCACGAGCTTCCAGAGCACGGTGCAGATCCTTGGGTCGTTTTATAATAGATATACGCAGGGAAAGTGAATGCTTAAAAATCGGTGTGGAAAGTGGAATTCAGATATTGTGAATTCAGGGGAAATTGTTTGTAATATACAAAATTCCGCCTGATCCTATTCTTAGAATTGCAGTACGACTAATTACAAATGTATATATATATTAAATTGTTGGCTTCAGTTACTAAAAGGTTTAAAAAGAGGGCAAATAAATACATAAATTTACATTTACATCATTTTTGCTTAGCGATAAGATGAAAATTTAAAATTAATTTCTTATTTTTAGCCCAAAGGGCGTTAGGTCAGCAGGGCTATTAATTTCGCTTTGGCATTTTGTGTTGATTCACTTTTCAAACTGTTGTCATTAAATATTATCGCCATGTATTATATTTAAAGCAACTAAAATGAAGAATTTGCATGAATGCATAAATGTCTCTCGCATTGTGAAAATGCAACTGTACCTAGAGCCATCCAGGTTTGAATAACGTAGTTCTCCAACCGAATATAGATACCTAGAAGCCCGAATTTATAATTTTGGATTTTTTTATTGTTTTTTATATTGGATCATATAAAAAGGTCATCCCGCTTTTTTGGTACATGTTTGAACAAACAATTTCTTTATTGAAAATCAATTTTAGTCAAGTACATATTGACCATTATTATCTATGACTTTTTGCCATTTTTTGGGTAGCTTCATGATCTCATCGGTGTAGAACTTCTGTGGTTTTGGCCAAGTGATTTTCAGCGGCACTTCGGTCGGCCAATTCTTTACCAATGAGAGTGTTTTCCAGAGACTGGAACAAATAGTAGTCAAACAGAGCAAGGTTTGGGCTATACGGTGGATGCATCAAAACTTCCCAACCAAGTCCGTCAATTTGATCCAAGTCATCAAAAATGTGTGTGGCCGTGTATTGTCGTGATGGAACACAACTACCTTTCTGTTGGCCAATTCTGGTCACTTTTTCTGGATTGTTTCGTTCAAACGGTCGAGTTGTGCACCGTACAGGGCCGAATTGATGGTTTCGCCAGGTTGCAGCAGCTCATAATGGATAATTTCTTTCTAATCCTACCAAACACCCAATATAACCTTATTTGGTGACAATCCAGGCTTTGATAGTTTGGGGGGTCATGGCTTGACCATTTGATCGCTTGCGTTTGTATCTCGTAAGTCACCCATTCATCGCTTGTGTTAACCAAATGTCACTTCAAAAATGGTTCGCTTTCTTTGAATTTCAGCAGCATTTCACTGAAGGTAATTCAGTCAATCAAATTTCTTTGCGTTAATTCATGTGGCACCCAAACATAGAGCTATTTTTGTAGCCTGCTCTTTTCAAATGATTCCAAACGGTCATGTTGTTGATGTCTAGTGCCTCCGCTATTTCCTGACAGCTTGCGTGCCGGACTTGCTCCCCCAGTTGCAAAATTTTATCGACTTCTTCAGTGACTGGTCCACCAGAGCGAGGTGCATTTTTGACATCGAAATTTCCGGAACAGAGTCGAGCAAACAACTCCTGGTTCTTCCGTTTACTCACAGCATTCTCACCGTACACTTCATAAACTTTTCAGCATGCTTTTGCAGGCGTATTTACCTTTTTTATAGTAAAAAAGCATCACATGTCATATTTCTTTAGATATTTCACTCAGTTTCAAATTCATATAACTTTTTACACCAGCAACGAATTAAAAAACTATCTTCACAAACAATAGAAGCTGAATATCACCTCTAAAGCACATGTTCGTTTGAGACAAACGGGTGAGTGTTGCCGGATATATAGGCATCAACACCATCCAGGGGCAAAAAAGCGCGGAGACTTTTTATATGGCCCAATATTTCGTAAATTTAACGAATTTTTGATTAAAAAACTCAAAGATTTCAAAGCCGAGCAATGGCAACACTGTACGAAAAGAAAAATATCTCCAGCGCGCGGAACTTTGTATCGAAAATTCTAAAGATATGCAGTTTTGGCTGTTTTTAAATATTTTGTGATATTGATGTTGAATTGAATTTTAGGTGGTTAAAGTGCGAAGAACATAATATTTAATAAATAAAGGTAACACATAAAACTTTAAAAAAACGTACTTTTGGGCGTAATAAAAAATCTGAAAGTTTCAGACTTTCTTCTCAGTCCAAAAGGGCAATTTGCCCAGAAGGACTATTAATTTTTTTTGCATGTGCCCTTGTTGTTCGGGCACGGTCTATCAGCGGTCGAGCGGTAATATCACGCGACAATATGAACAATATGATGATAAACCGTATGATCCGTAATGATGTGAACGGATGGACTGCATTGAAGGTTTACTGATTTTGCCCATAATTATTGTGTGTACGAGTCAGTTTCCTCAAAGGCATACGTTAACTTAAGTAGATGGTCATCGTATGTGTTAACATGTTCCAAATAATTCAGTCAGTCGTATTTGTATACACGAGGCAAGTTGCTCATTTGCTTCACTCTTGTCCCCGTTGTCTGCAAGGTTTCAAATGGAGTTTATGCCTTCCTTAATGATCTTGCGGGAGTAATTCTCCTCAACATTCTGGCAGTAATTGAAGCAGAGTTCTACAGCTGAAATAAATTTAGTCCTAAAACAATGTAGTCTTAAGTACAAACCATATTATAGTACCAAATACTGTCCTAATATAAATATAAATATGAAATAAAGTTCTACAACTGAAATAAAGTGTGGAAAGGAGAGGGCAACTGATCATCCTAAGATCAATTTAAACAAAAGCGTCTTCCACAAGCTTAAATCAAGAAAATTAACAGCATGATGAACAAATTAGCAAGTGAAGCACTGACTTGTGTCAAGTAACATAAAAGAACATTAAACTGCTGTTATTAAAAGCATCGTTGATCTGCTACAATAGTTCTTAAATGAAATATGGTTTTAGGCTATATTTAGTACGTTATTTTATTTTATTTATTATTAATTGCATTAGAATTGTGTTAGTTATTCAAAGATATTTATATTAGGACAGTATTTGGTACTATAATATGGTTTGTACTTAAGACTACATTGTTTTAGGACTAAATTTAATGTATGTACAAGTAAGAAAGAATCAACTTAATCAATGTAGTACCAACTAGTTCCGTAGCGAGGCAATAAATATTTAATCAAGGCGCCTGGCTGAGTATTCAATGCAGATTTGCTTATAGCAGCAGTTGAGTGGTTGTGCTCATGAAGGTAGTGGACAGACATGTTAACTGGTGGCTAACTGAAGACGGACTTCCGTATGAGAGAACAACTTTTGAAGAGAAGAAAAATAGCTACAAATAACCTAGCAAAACTACAGACACTGCTGAATTTTCTGGTAAATACAAGATGAATATTGTGGATTATAAAATCGCGTAACGAAAAAAAGAGAAAAAAAAGAAACAGGGTAAATTCAAAAGAATTTCAGCTCTTGCTAAAATCTCAATTCATCCGAAAGCATATTTATACTGGCGGAGTAGTTTCGTTTAAATAAGGAGAAAGAGACTAGTAGACCATTATATAAAAGTCTGCTCTGGGCTGTTTAAAATGTATTTACGTAAAGTTTCCAAAATATTGCGAAGTAACGAAAATCCCCAAATATAGAATTGCTATAGATATAAAAATACTACATAAGAATGAAATAATCAACTACAAAAAAGTAAAACAAATTTTTCCACAAAATAAAAATTATACAGTGTGTGAGTATGTCAACATACAAATTGTAGTAAAATAGTGTACATTGTAAATAATAAATACATAAAAAACACATAAGTACAAAATAAGTCAAAGTCGAAGTATTTTAGTATTCGACTATAATACAAAATAAGTCGAAGAAATATACAGCAAAAGCAAAACAAACACAGATATCTAGAAAATGCACAGTATATTCCTTACCAGATAAGCTAGTTCATAACCAATGTTGTCAGCTATATTGTCGTTTTGCGTTTTATTACTATCCACCTGTGAAAAATATGAAAATGTTTTAATATATATTCTAAAGTAACCTCTTTAATAAGTTGAAGAATTAAAGAAACTGATATTGAAAATAAATCGATTTTCTGAATTTCAAGATGTGAGCGTTAAATTTCATTATATGTTTAGACGTAAGCACGCACGGAATCCTGTGATCATAATATAAAATTAGCATGTTATGATGTTATGCTATGGACGTGTTCTCTTCTACTTAAAAAAGCAAAACAAATTTTTTAATTAAAAAATTCCATTCACAAATGTAATACGGCGAAACGTAAATAGATAAAAGTTTTCAATGGAGATCATTAGAGATTTAAACAATTCCTTTAATTTTTTATAAGAATTTATCTTTTACGTTTCTTAAGACTACTTCATTTTCGGGCTTTATTAAAAAACATTTAAATTTGACGATAACAAATTTTAAAATTACCGCTTTTATATATTTTTAGTCAAATAATATACGAAAAAAATGCCTTTACTTTTATTATCTCTGCAGTTTTACTTGTGAGAAACAACCTGCATAATTAATCTTTCATGGATCATGTCGTCAATAGGTCGACATTTTTTTTGTCTGTATTAAAAACTGCTGTTTACTAAAATTCGACTTGAAAAAAATTGCTGTTACATTTCTTAAATGATTTGATGTATGCTGAATTTATTTTATTACAGAAGCTTACTTAAAATGAAAACTAATAAGAGGAAAATAAAGAAGTTGTTTTCAATTTCCTAATCGCGCTTTTAACATTTCTGCTTTCCAAATTCTTTCGTAGGTATTTATATACCTAAACAACCGACCATCCAGTTAAGAAATATTTGCCTACATATTGCTATAACCTTACGGTAAATGGCAACAATTAAAAACTTCTTTTGAAACATCTAACATCTCAACCGTTAGTTTAAAAAGATTCGACAGATTTTTGCATGGATTTAACGTTTCCTCTTATCCAAGAGTAATTGCTTTATGTTATGTTACTTTTATTACTTTTGACACGTAATTCTTCTATGCAGTGCTTTTGTTTTAATTAAATTTGCTTTGTTAAACGTAAAGTTTACATTGCCCTCTGATTATAAACTGGCAGCCCAACAATGGGCCTGAAGCCTCCAAAATTTAAAACTTATTACCGAAAGCCGAGCTCAATTTTTTCTTTGAGCTTTCCTGCGTTAAAAAAAGAAAATCATCACCCTGGTGATATGGAAAATTTTGATTTTTGACGATCTGGAAACCCTGGCAGTGAAGGATTAATCCAATGTCCTTGCGTTTACTGTAAAACAATCATGCAGTAAGAAGGAATTGTATTTTATACAAAGTTCAATTGATTATGATAGTTTAACATAGAGTAAAAGCATGTTTAATTTTGTAAATAAAAAGAAATAATATTTGCGAATCAAAAAGAAATGAATCAACAGAAGAAAATGATTAAAAATATGTCATTAAAAGTCAAAGCTACTGGAACGGATGAACCAAAGTTAATGGGAAATTCTCCAATCCTAAATTCATTTTTAGCTCAGTTATCATGGTTAGAAGAAAAACTCTATTTGAAAAACCCGAAGAAATGGGAGGCATCAAAGTGAGAAGAAAGTAGACCTGAGATAAGTGGAGGAACAGTTAAACTGACAAGGCTAATTCTACAAAGATGATATTCTAGTGCCTTTTTATATTCTCATAATTAAGAAGTTAAGAAAAAAAAATCAATTTTAGAAAGGGAAAATAAATGGCTCAAAAATGTGTTGCATTAAGTGCAGTCGTCTAGCAAAAGTAATAAATATAAACAAAATAGTAATTCCACATTTGCAGTCAAGTTGCCTTCGAACAATTCTGCGATTCAAAAGTTTTAATTTCAAAGTTCCTTTTACAGTAGGGTGAATCTGATACTATGATTTGGAAGGGAGAAAGCTTACTTTTATAATTCGAGAGTCGCTTCAAACCAGGGGCAGATCCAACCCCATATAATGAAATTTTCAAGAATTGTACTGATTCTATGTTAAATGAATCATCTCGATTCAGTGATGTTTCAGGGAATCATCTTTATTCCATGTTAAATGAATCATAACGATTCAGTGAAGTTTGAGTGGAATAACCCCGATTTCATGTTAAATGAATCATTTCGATTCAATGATGGTTTGGAGAATCATCCTGATTCTGTGCAGTTAAATCAATCATTTCAAATTCGTCATCAAAAGATTCCCGGTTTACGCTTCACGAGAGATGTGAAATATCTTGCGGATTCTCGTCGAGACGTCATCGAGCCTGAGGGGAAGTCTATAACCTAACGGTAAATGGCAACAGACAAAAATTTTTGAAAAATCTAACATTCAACCGTAGTTAAAAATTCTCCAGATTTTTGATGTACTAACTTTTCCGATCCAGAGAATTGCTTAATGTAACTTTTATTACTTTTGACATGCAATTCTTCTATGTAGTGTTTTTATTTTAATTAAATTTGCTTTGTTAAATGTAAAGTTTACATGGCCCTCTGGTTATATTGCTCGTTTTTTATGTGACGAGTAATAAGGATTATGTTAAGTTATCTAACAGTTAAATTTTAAGTTGCTTTTTTATCTCTTCTGAATTTTAACTTGCAGCTTCCGGCCAGAACATATATTTAGAATCCCATTTAAATGCAAATGAGGAGAAGTATTTAACTGTGAAGTTCTACTGACTTCGTTAGAGACCCAGTAATTCTGACTAGCACGCGTTCGCCTTTTCAAGCTACTTTCTCTCTTAAGCTATTACTACGCTCGGCCGTACATTAGGCCCTTGATAGCTTCTCCGTTATTAGCATTTAGCGGCCAATTCTGTTAGAACCCCGATAGCTTCGGCTATATCTTTTAAGATTAGTTTAGTTCTTAGCTTCCCAAATTCAAGCCCGAGGGGAAGCTTTATTGTAACTCCATCTGTTAACCTTTATTTGGAATAATAGAAGGTAATTCAAATCTTCCCACGTTTATTCTTTGTATCACGAACTCAAGCGATTATTCGCTTAGCTTTTCCTCGAAATAAATACACTCATTGCCATAAAAATTTGCGCACTAAGAAATAATTGTGGGATCTACGAAACTGCATGAAGTACATGTCGTAGATTGCAATATTAGAAATGCGTCTGACTCGCATTGCTTATGCCACTAAGGGCGTTGAACTTCGTTCTCTTGGATAAAGAAGTATAAAAACTTGTAAGCAAGCTGTTTGACTGTACTTGTCTTTGCTAAGGAAACGCTGAGGTAGACGCCGGACGCGCCATTAAAGTAATATTAGCAGCTGTCAGTTCGCGAGTGGAAGAATCATCGTTGAAGGAGCTAGTGTAAGCTCGGGATAGATGTCAGGTAGACGTTTATTTACAATGGAGGTATTTGAACACAGTGGACAGAAGACCGTCGTTACGGCACCATGCTCATGACGTTCTCGACAACCACATCGAGAAACCGTCACAACATACGAACCGCACACGTAGAGCCAACTGGCCTCATTGGCCGCATGCAGCACAAGAGCAGCTTCATTACGGGCCCCTGTGTCTTCCCGAACCATTGCAATGCGCTTTGTTGAAGGACATCTGGTATCGCGGCGCCCATTACGTGTGCTGCCAATGACACCCACCCACCAACGCCTCCGTTTGGAGCATGGAGTAGGAAGTAAGCATGGAGGTAGTAGTCCTTTCCTACCTCCATGATTTGGAGTGGTGTCGCTCACGCCAGGATTGGACTTTAACGGAATGGAACCAGGTCGTCTTCAGCGACGAAGCTTGATTCAATTTGACCAGTTATGACAATCGTGTTTGTGTGTGGAGGCCCCGTGGCGAACGCCTCAGATTTGTCACCAATCGAGCATATTTGGGATCATTTGGGACGGCACGTTTGACAGCCTACGAGATTGGCCGAACTAGAGGCACGTTTACAGCAACTGGGGAACGAAATGTTCCAGGACACCATATGGAACTTGTATGCCTCAATGCCCGTTCGTGCTAGAGGTGGTCCAACAGAGTACTAAAACTTCCGTTTATGTGTATTTTTTTCTGCAATAAGTTATCCTTTTTTCTTTGATTTTCTAATCACTTACTTATATCAAAGTACTACTTACGTATGTAAAATTTCGTTTCATTCTGACAAATCTTTCTGGGTGCGCAAATTTTTATGGCAATGAGTGTATTTTGATCACCTACATATTAAAACAATGAAAATGCATCATGGAGACCTACAATAAACTCGTTTACCTTGGGAACGAAAGACTGCACAGACGTTTCTCGATTTTTCTTATACGATACATAATTATTAAAGCAGTTTAATTTAGAAACATAATTGTGAAATTATTTAGACAGGCAGATCTGTCTTATGTGTGTCAAATTTGATGTGTCAAATTAATTTTAATATTGAAACGAATTCTAATATGTATAAAAATGGATTTTGAAATGTAATAATGACAAACGATGTGATACGTTTATATTATAGAGAACTGCATTTCATTCAAGTGGATTCGAAATTTTTCCAGCAAGGCGAAAAATGTATTGTGTTGTGGCGATTAAAAAGATCTTGATTTAAAAGCATGCTATTATTTGCTACAAACTCTGCAGATGACTGGAACGCATTTCAGTCTTAAATATTTCTTATTCTAAAGCCGAAGATATTTTAATGATAGATTGCAAAATATATTTAAATTCAGTTCATTTTACCTATTGTCATTAGTCTTGATATAACAGGCATCAGTGACTAATAAATAGATATTCCTATCTTTGTTAATAGTAACTGGGTTCGAATTTTTCTGACTTATAGAGGATATTTTCTTGATTATATCTATCTAGAAAATTCGACTCATGCTAAACTTACAAGAGGCATTAGAGTTTTGAGCATTAGGAGCTCGATTCAGGTCTACAGAGTGAAGAAAAGGATGGCGAATAGGAATTTTTATTATTTTCTCCACATTTAAAATGAGTTAGTTTCTCATGCAAATTCGTCTACTAGAGTATCCTTTCCTTTTGGCGAATTGCTTCAGCATTCAT